CAAACATACCGCTGTGCCACTGGGGTGGCCTCATTGAAAGAAAAATATAGTAGAGAAAAATAAACGGAAATAAAGAAACTGATATGTATATAGTTTGTTCGTTATGTTAAGCTATCTGTATTGAGCCTATGCGGGTATCGAATCTAGATTTTTAGAGTTCAAATCCCTCAGACTAACCGCTGAGTCATCGAGGAGGGAACATACATACAGTAGAGCAAGAGCTTTAGCAAATGGAATATTAAATGATAAACTGTGGATCGAAGGTTTTTTGGATCGTGCCCGTTGCCCTTTAAGAAAACAAAACAAAGCAATGTCGTCTTCGCAATTTGGGGCTGTGGTTATTTTATAAGAGTTACGGTCAAATCTCACTATTCGATTGGTGTAGTCCACGAGTTGGCGTTGGGTGGCGTTGACTAGCTGCCTTCCCTCTAGTCTGTCACCTCAAAATTAAGGATGGTCAATACAGATATCCTGCGAATATCTTTGCGAGAAAAGCAACAAATAAATAAACCATTAGTTGTAAGTGTAAAATTACTTTATTTATTAACCACTTTTAATCAAACTGAAGACGTCTTTAAATATTTTTTACATAGGACAATAGGGTTAACGAGTTTTGTTAAAAATCAAAATTAGAATCGTAAATAAGTAGATATGAATTAATATAAAAAATTAAATTTTGTTAATGCTCATAGCAACAATAATAAGCATTTATTACGCTCAACAGCTATATTTAATGTCAACTTTTTTTCTTTGTGTTCCCACTCATCACTTTTAATTGGTGCTGCTAATAAAAACATCCATTTGTTTCGGTCAGTGTTGACAGTAGAAATATTCACCTCTTTCAATAAATCAGTGTCGCCTGTTAAACTTTTTATCGATTTCAAGCATGAGAACTTTTTGTTAACACTATGTCTGAAAAACTTAAAAAAATTCGTGATTTTTTAAATTAAGTGTTAGGGAATTCATATTTATTATAGCTGGTACAATGAAATGCGTCTGAGCACTTATTTACTGCTGAGGGAAAAGTGGCGAAAGATAATCCTTTATACTTTCCCTTCCCTTCATGATTTTGAAAGAGGTTGTTGAATTAGAGATTTTTCGCAGAAGCTGCTCTATCCATTCACAAAGCGAGACGAACGGAGATCATTCACTCTGATCAAACTCGTAAATTTGCACTTTTTCAATTCTGTATAGCCTGATGAGCGTATGCCTGTTTCCTAAAAAGTCGTGGATAAAACAGGAAACGCTTCAGTATCTAAAGTATGTAAAATATAAAATGTTTACTTAGTCAGATTCTGTTAAAGAAAAGGGATAAAAAAAAACATTACAGACTAAAACGTCCCGTAATACAGTCTGTATTAAGAATTGTTACACAGTGTTCAGTTTTTTGTTTTCTAGTAAAGAAAAAAAAGTTATACTCGTCATTCGAGGCATTTTGAATAGGGTTACAGTTGAAGTTCTGTGTAACTTTTAGTTAAGTTTGATATAACACGTTACTAAAATATAATATACGAACGAGTGTTCAC